AAAATTACATTAGCATAGATTTCATTTCAATCAGACAAACTCTTTTGCTTTGGTCTTAAAATAGAGTAGATTTCCTGCCAGTTTGTATTTTGGTTGGCCATTTAAGTCTTTTTAAATCTCTCGTCTTTCTTTTGAATCAACAGACTGAAAAGTAAAGAAGAAATCTCGAGGGGAAAAATGTGCACAATGAAGCACGAGTCTCACTTAATTGATTTGCCAGTTTTTCTTGTTAACAGATAAAAAGTTTCTTTTTCCGAGTCATGAAAAACACTCAACACTAGAAGGATATGTTGAAGGATAACTGGTGTATAAAAGGCTGACCTTTTTTTAAATTATTATTTGCCAGATAAAAACAAGGCTGAAATCAACTAGAAAGTGATAGTTACTTAAGCATTTGCACTCATAAAAATATTTCAGAAGAAAAACGCTGCTTGAAGCTCAAGTCTTCTTAGAGGATAAATGGACATTATTTCTTTCATTTTTTTTTTGTTTTTATACTTTTTTTTACTTCTTTCCTTATGAATTTTTATTGATGTAATTATTGTTTTTTTCTTCCAACATCTTTTTTCCTTCTTCTTTGTTATCTTTCTCTTCTGACAATTTTTTTCCCAGATATTCTCTGTCTTCTTTTTTTTTTTCATGAACTTACTTTCATTCATAACTTTATCTTTCATTCCATACTCCTGTTCATTCACACTTGACACATTTTCAATTCTTTTCCTTCTCCTTTCTGACTTTTTTCTTCCTTTATTTAATTCTTCCTCTTTCTTTCTGAGGTCTTTCATTCCTTTCATAGATTTTTCCTTTCTTCCTTTAGTTTTTCTTCATTACTCATTTCTTTCATTCATGTTAAAGTTTATAGCAGAACCTCTCTCCATAAAACAATTTGAAACTATTCAGAGAAACCTGAAAGTAATAGAACAACACCCAAGAATATGTATTTCTGTTTGCTCAAGATTAAATGTAATATAGGTACCATTAAATGATCCAATGTACAGATCATTTTATTGCACATGTTCCAAAATAAGGGTCATATCTAGAGTATTCATATCCAATATTAATAGACTGTATATCCTCTTTGGATATTTTCTTATATGCATATGATCATAAAGATGGTGAATAACATTCTATAGTACATTATTCCATTCCTCTTGCACATGTCAATGCAATAGTTGTAGGTTGACAAACTGATTGTCCTGTTTCATCCCATCCTGTCTCCTACATGTTCAATAGGGTATAGATTTGGTACTCATACTTACCAGTGGAGTTTTGAGTAGCATGGGCATGATGTGGGCAGGCATTATTCTGCTGTTACATTATATCACATTCCTGTTGTAGGAATCATAGGAGAACAAATTGAATAATGTTCACTCCACAAACATCACAGGTGAACAAGAATTGCAATTTATGGCATCTCACGCCATGATGCCAGGGGTTTGGTCCATGTGTTGTGCATGAATACATATTGGAAGATGTCATTCCAAACATTTAGTATTTTTTTGAACAAGCACCAAGTGATGTGTGCTATATCTCGTCTGAAAGTAGACTGTTTCAGGTTTCAGAATTGGCGTTAATCCTAACTCCAAGTATTTATCAATTTATTAAAAACTTGCACATGTATAATCATTTATTTTTAGGTGATTAACTCTGAATAGTAGAATTCCTTGCTTCTTTTTTGCTAGGAAAGTCATTAGAATCTTGTTGAAATGAATTTATAAGTGATAATCTTTTAAAAATAATACCCTATATCAAATGGATATTGGAGCCCTATAACACAAAATTCAGTCAAATTAATAAATTCTTTTGCCATATTTTGCTTGCTTTTTACTTTCTCACTCCTTAACATTGAACAATGCTAACAAAAAATGCGCTAAACAATTTTTTTCTCCTTTTTTTTTTCTTTTTGGGGTGCTGAATCTATTTTTGGCCTGAAATATGAATGGGTTAAATGCAAAATTAAGTTCTTTCCTGAAATTTTGGCTATCCCCTGCAGAGCAGGATTTCTAAACCTAAACTATTATTTCTTAATTGGAAAAGTGAATTTTCTTTTCATCTTCCTCTTAAGTACAAATGACATTAATATAGTTCTATAATTGAGCTGAAGATCATTCAGCTGGCTCTAAAAGCATAAATGTCTGCTATACATTCTTCAGGTTATATTGCATGGAGAAATAACAATCGCTTGCATGAAGGTAGAACCTGGCTAGAACCACACTTGTCTGTAGTCCTACTGTATAAGTAAATGATTCCTCATGGTCAGTGTTGACTTTTCTGGGTCATCTTTTTTTAGATGTGTGCTGTGTTCATTGTGGTCTGCCATTATTAGTCATAGAATGCATTGATCTGTAGAAGCATTTGTCTTACATAGCTATCCAAACCTGGTTTATAGAGGCTTACATCATATTGAGACCCTGGTTCCCATACAATCACTGAAGTTAAGCAACATCAAGCCTGGTTAGTACCTAGATGAGTGACCACTTGAGAATACCAAGTGTTGTAAGGGATAATGGCTTGGAAATGTTAATTGGAGATCTGAGTTCCAATTCCAGTTGGATTTGTTATATTCACTTACATGCAAATACTCTTGGGAAAGGTATGAATCCACCTCTTCTCACCCATCTATGGTTTAATTAGCAAAACTTGTATCACTAAAATCATTATCTCCTCTCCCACCCCCAACGAAATTCTTAGAATCTAAAAATATTCCCTAGCTTTAAATAACCTGCAAAGGATTGATAAGCCATTGAAAACAAAGCAATCAATCAAACGTAGGAATATTTGTTTGATGACTGTTGCCTGTATCAAAGCACAATCCATGTATCATGTCTAGGATATGCAATAATTTTCCAAAATGGCTATCCAATCTTTGGAAGGACCACAATCCAACCTCTGTCAAATTTTGAAAAAAAAGAACATGAGTGTCTATGTGACATGAAAACTGTTTGAACAAGACTTGTTAACCACACTGACCCTGATGGCAACATGTATCACTATCTAAACCTCTGATATGGACATGCAATTGCAAAATGGCTGAAGACTGAAAATTTTCTCAGAATATCTATAATGTATTCAGGTAGTCTATTCAATTCAAAACTAACATTATTCTTCAGAGTGCTGATGTTTTATTTTTCATCATTGCAGATGAAGTTATTAATTAAAATAATCCATATGAAAGTGCTTTCACAGTTGCAAGTTTATTTTCAATTTCTACTCTCAAAATTAGTGAAAATCCACAAATTTGAAATGCCACAATTTCATTGCCAAATTTTCCATCTTTCTTCACACATCCCAAAATTCTTTTTGTTGTGTGAATAGAAATTTCACCAAATATAAGATCCATGAGTCAATCAAGATAGAGGGTGACTGAGTGAGGTTGTTACATGTAAGAGGATATGTAGAAAGGATAACGGCCAACTGTAGACTTAGTAGGAAAGATAACGGCCAACCCTAGATTTATGAGGTTATGATTGTAGGCACTAGGGAAGCATCCTCTTATGAGTCTATTCCTTAAAGTAACAATTCTTGGGAAGAAGCTGTGTGAATGGAACTTCCTTCTTACTAATGGAATACAAAGGGAATGGTGATAATAGGTTCCAGGTTACATGGCATCATGGATCTTAGCTGTGAAGGTCGAGGCTGGTGGAACAAAGTAAAGTAACTTGTCAAAATATTCTCCATGGAAATAGCAACAGAGTAGCGTGAGTCTTGTGGTGTTCTTGTTGGATTGGGGTTGTAGACTTGTTGTTGAGTAAATCATCTGTGAATGGTCCTTTGGTAGGAAGTGAAGTATGTACCAAGTGCTACTCTTGTTGATCTAATTGACCTATAGCTGACTTAGCTGTGAGATTATTAACTTTAGGACAAGGGAAATTCTATTCGTCTACAGGATCAAATAATAAAGATTAATGAAATACTTTAGACGCAATCAATATTATTATTATCATCAAGTTTGATAAAGTGAAATTATGAATCATGCCCTGACTGTTATGGTTATTGCAACAGTTGGTCATAGTTTCTCAAGAATTCTCTACTTGTTATCATAAATTTGAGTGTTTTTCAATTACAAATATAACCTATTGTTATAAGAAAGAACTAAAGACTGAAAAGTTTGAGAGTTTCTCTCAAATTCCAGAACATTCTAAAAGAAAGGAAAATAAAAACCACCATATAAAAAATTTTAGTAAATTAAAATTATATCTCAGGAAGATTTATTGGTTCAGACAAATTACCTGACTGAAAATTGAAAGAGAAAAAACTCAAGACAATAGTTCACTTGGGATGATTGCCTGGCCATTATTGAATGGTAGAAACAAGAGAGTTGAGAAAACTCATCATAAACATGAAATGGGAAAAAATTCCAGTTTCAAACCATGCTAAAGTGTCATTTACTGAAATAGAATCCTGACAACTTCTACAATATTCATAGATAATAATAAAAAACAGAAAATAGTAGTTAAAAACTTTTTTTCCACTTAAATGATTTATGATTTACAACAAGTATAATTCAATAACATTAACACATTTCAAATATTTTTCAAACAATTGAATCTCTTTTTCATATATTCTTAGAGAACCCCATTTTTCAAAAAGAAAAAATAAACAAATGGCAACTGAAGAAATTGTCACAACTTTACCAACCAGACTAATCCATTTCAACAGTGTCAGGTATACTATACTTACATTCATGGACCCATGTTGCTGGGTTTTTTTCCTTGAAAGACATTTATTTTAAATTTATTTTTTCACAGACTATATACATCTAATCAAGAAGAACAGTTCAGGTGAAATGTGATGTTAACATCTGTGAAGGGGTTCGATTATCTGAACAATGTTAATGACTTTTCTCAAAGTTGTCTGGCTGTAATTCCACTTTGTATTGTGGAAATGTCAAAACCTGATTGGGAAGTGGGGGTGTGTGTCAAAACTGAACTTGGAACAAATGTTTATTTTAACTGATAGAATGGAAAAGGAGGTCCTGTAATCAGAAGATATCAGAATTCTGTTATAAGATTTTTGTGAATAAGACATGAAACTGTTGGTTAAGCTGATGTTTGACATGAAAACTGTAGTTACTAAAGTTTTTTTATGTTTTTATTTACAATCAAATACATGCGTTCAGCCAGGTTTCTAAAATTGCAATTTCTCTGAAAGAAACCAACGTTTTCTGTCAATTTGTAAATACTCTTAGATGAGTTAATAGCTAAGAAGTAAATAAAAGTAAAAACATATCTCTTAAATAATGGTTCCATAGAAATGATCAAATTTTCTGAGACTATTCCTGCTGGGAATTAAAAGTAAGAATAGATTTAGTTTCATCTTATTGTAAAATGTAAAATCTGCTTTTTTGCATCCTTGTGAATCTGCCTTAATTTGATTCTATTACATCTCCATCTTAAAGACTTTTAAGGATTTGTATTTTAGTGGGGTTTTTTTTTTTGTTTGATGCTACATTTCAAGTGAATATTGAAGCTAAAGAATGGAGAAAGAAAAAAGTGGCAATTTTGATTGAGTTTTTATGTAAAACCAATAAATATACAATTGAGACATTGTCAGTTAAAATCAAAATGCAAAACAAAATAAATATTTAAATAGAATTGATAAGAGTTCAAAAGATTAAATCTCAAGGGGTGTTTGTTTAGAATAACATTGTTGTGCAGTGATATATATTTGTACATGTTTTTAGCACAACTGTAGCTAACTTTGATGTTGTTTTTATTGAAAATCTTTATTAGCATTGGCAAATGATTGAAGTTCGAAAAGAAGAGTTACCCACCTTTATACTTAAACTTATTTTAATAACAATGTCTGTTTTTAATGAAAATTAGAATTAGAATTTCTAATTATTATTTTCAATCTTAAATGTAAATTTAAGCCTAAATTCAAATTCAAGATTAGATTATGGTGCAATTAAATATTTATCTATAGTTATAATCCAACCAAATAACAACATACCCCATGAGGCACACAAATATTAACCAAATGGTGTTATCCAAATTAGTACCTGATGATTGCAATGAGCATGAAACTGAGAGTTGGATTGTGAGCATAGGATATTATATATATATATATATATATATATATATATATAATGTTTGTTTTTGTTTTTTACAAGAACATTTAGCATACTTGATAACAAAGAACTGTTTACCCACCAAAATATTAGAGTTTCCTAAGTTTTCTAGTAACGGGACAGTTGAAATTTCTAATACACATAATGAAGTAAAAGGTCTTGAATACTTAGACACTTGCAGAACATATTGAGAGACAGATGGAAACAGCAAGTAACCCCCAACCAAACTTTTGATTCTGAAATATATCTTCTTGTTCCTTGCATACTTCTTTGATGATTATCATTAAATCATTCTATTGTTGGTTTTAAAAAAAAACTTTGTTCCCTCATAAATTAATTCTTTATTTGTCTGTTGTGGACAGTTGAGCCACTATTGTGCCACCACAAGTGTTTGTATTGAAACTGTCAGAGCCTCCTGCATTGTTAACCATTTTCTTTCAGGCCCAAATTATGCTATGAACATGGACATATTGACAGAAACAAAGAAAGCTTTAAGAAATATGACATTCTAGAGATAATGCATACAAAAATCAAAATGTTTTATGTCAGGTAGACATCAAATCTCCTAACTTGAAATAAATGTTGGGCAATTTCCGCAAAGATAAAGAAGAGACTAAGCAATGGAGATGTTCTACAGATGAAAGCCAAGAATACCATGGATGGAGCATGTGAGTAATGAAGAAGTTTTAAGGAGAAGAGGAACTGCACGGAAACTGCTACTGATGATCCAAAAGAGCTGAAATTGATTTATATTAATTCAAACAAATGAACGTCGTTTTTCATGTCTCCATAATGGAAATGGCAAGATGGTCAATTATGTCCTAACTTCTATCACCTTTGCTTTTAGTAAGAATATTAAACAAAACATGATATCTAGCTGTGGTGTGTAACGCAACAATTCAACTGATGATAGCAGGTAGGCACAAAGAAAACCGGTGTCGCATGTCCAACCTTCTCACGAGCCGAAAGCCCTCTGATCTGAAACAGCAAAAACGAGCCTGCTTTATACAGCCGCGGACCGACCACGATTTGCATGCGAATGACGAGACAACGAGATTTCGCGTTAACTAACCGAGACCGCCCGGCATAAAATCGTGGGCGCCGCCATTTTGGGTTTTTTTTTACCGTTGGAAGGACCAGAGTTTGCATACTGCGCAGATTTGAACGCGTTTCCGAGGTAAGCCATTTTCACAATTTTCCCCACTCCCCTGATCTCATGATCACAAACAGGGCAGGGAGGTGGCGATCGTCGCCGTCGAGTCCCCCCCTCAAGGGGGGATAACACAAGCTTCATCCTCGTGCGTGTTCTCGTCTGTGGTTTGAGTGTCGGTAAACACTGTGTCCGCCGGGAGGCTGTTGTTATCAGAATCACTGCCCTGCAGGTCTAACTCAAAGGCAGATTGAACGCTCACTACTCCCAGACTCGGAAT